TGTTCAGGTAGACTGGAGGTGAACGTGGACCAGTCCTGGTCCTCAGTGGGTGAAGATGCTTTTGACCAGCAGGATGCAGAGGTGGTCTGCAGGGAGCTGGGCTGTGGGCCTCCTTCAGTCCTCCAGGGGGGGCTCTATGGAGAAACAGAGGCTCCAACATGGAGCAAAGAGTTCCAGTGTGAAGGCAACGAGACTGCTCTGTTGGACTGTAGAAGCTCAGGTTCAGAAAGAAGCACCAGCTCACCTGGTAAAGCTGTTGGACTCACCTGTTCAGGTAGAGGAGGAGCTACACACCTGATTCAGTTAACTGGGTTATTTCTTCTTCAGTATTTTCTCACTTTAAGATAATATCAGGTTGATGGGAGAGGCCAGTCACTGTGCTGGGAAGCTGGAGCTGTTTAACCAGGATCAGTGGAGACCAGCGGTTGACTGGTCTGATGTCTGGAACAAGAACTCAGCTGCTGTAGTTTGTTCTAACGTGGGTTGTGGTTCTGCTGTTTCAATTAACACATCAAAGGAATCATCAGAAAGACCCGCGTGGTGGATAGATGCATCCTGTCTGCAGTCAGCATCTCTGCTGATAGTGTTTAGATCCGCATGATTATTTTTCTGATGAGACCCTGGAGGTGATCTGCTCAGGTGATCCGGAACTCTCCACATGTTTAGTAACTTTTCAGCAGGTTTCACTTGTTGCCAACAAAACACCTCAAAGCAGAACTGGTGAACCTGTAGATGAACGTCTCGTTAACATTAGAGTCTATTCCACTTTCAGGCCCTCTCTGTTGTGCTTCAGCTTGTCCTCCAACAGCCCTTCCCACAGATGAAGTTGTCATGTTTATACATGCTTGTAACCATGGCAACTAATCAGTCTCATGACATTTTTCATTGATTGTTTGAGAACAAACTGGAGCTATTTCTATCTCGTTACCAGGTTTGTTGGTGTAGCCACAGATCTCCCTCTCTTCCTTCACTGACGGGGTCTCCAAAGCCATAAAACAGGGGTCTGAGGTTCCCATTGGCTCACATTTCAGCATCATGTGCTCCATCACACCTTAGTACCAAAGCGGTTCCTTCCAGCTCATCTTCATCGCCTCCACCTCAATACAGAAATAATCATCAGCTTTTATTCTTTTATCGTGTCGTTCTGCTGCTGATGCTGCTTTCTGTTGGACTCGGCAACTTTTCCACACATCTTGTTGTGTGATGATTTCTAGATGTGTGAGTCAGCTGACCACAGATCGGTAAAAACGTGGTTTAGAAGTTGTGAGTGAAATGAAATCTAGACTTTCTGCTGCATCAGGGTCAGTATTAGAGCTCCTGTCACTGAGAGAAAACACAAACATTTACAGATGATCTGATTCTCTCCAACACTCATGTCAACAATGATGCTGTGTGTTATTTGTTCACTAGATGGTGATTTTAATCAGAGGAAGAAAAATCTGTCTGAAAATGTCATTTCTGTTTGTCCTGGTCTGACCCTTTCAGTTAAAGTCTAGTATGTTTTATTTCTATGTTCCATCTTTAGAATTCTGATGTTTTATTGATCATTCTTTGGTAATTTTTACACTTTTATGTATTCATGCTGAATTATTCTATTTTCATTGAAGTAACAACAGCTGTTCTGCTTAATTTCTTTGTAAAAACAATAAAAATCTATTTTAAAGTTTAATTTTCGTTAAATAAAAGTTAAGACTCCAGTTCCTGTGTGGTTTGGAGCTTTTCCTCATGTGGCAGAGGAAGAAATGTGTCTGAAAATGTTTTAGTGCCACTTTTCTGATGTAGAACCAAGTTATTCTACAGCTCAGGTTTTATTTTTATTCTTCATTTAACTCACTTTCTTTCTGTCCTGATGTAAAACTTTTTATCCTGCATTTAGTTTTTGCTCAGATCATTTAGTGAGAAATGTAACATTTTGTTCCATTTCCTGTTGTAGAAGGGGTAAATATGCTGCTTTTAAGCTTAATATACTACCTTTACTTATGACCAATAAGATGTGATATTCTATAGAAATATAGAATATCAACCTGATTGATATTTGAATGTTTAATCAGAAGAACTAGGATTCTTTGCTTTTTCAGTGATCATAACACACTTCGTATTATTTCAGACCGAATCAGGTTTATAAAAGGTAAGAAATTTATTTTCTAAACAAATGAAAAACACGACAACTATGTAAGGATTTAATCTACATCTATTTAATGAACCATAAGACATGAGATTCCATAGTGAATATGAAATCAATCTTATGGATCTTTGGGTACTTTTAACCAGAAGATTGTAACTTTTTATTGCAGGGATTATGTAACACTTCGTATTAACTGAGAGACAAGAGAAGAGAGAGTCACCTTGAAAACGTTTAAGAAGATTTATTTCTAAACAATTTTAAACAAGACTAACTCTAAACTCTAAGTGATTAATGGATCTTGTTGTGAATGAGACGTGAGATGAATGGTGTATGAGTGAGTGGTGTTGTCATTAGAACTATCATATCCGGAGAAGCAAGTCTGAATGATGTTATGATGTTTTGCTCTTAAGCTATGATCTGAGTTTCATAAAAACATAAGACGCCATTTTGTCACTCCACACATACCCTTAGGATGAGACCTCTGCACAGATCCAGAATGCCAGGTCCTCGGACCATAGACATAGTTTTGGGGGGGGGGGGGACTTGTCCCCCCACTTTTTCCAAAGTCAAGTTTTGACCCCTGCACTTTTTACCATCCAAAAACAATATTACGCTATATTAAATTGACACTGGTTGAGCTCTAGGTCCAAGTGGAAAACAACCGTTTGTGTTGAAGCCTGTTTCCCATTAGAGCATACTGTAAAGATACCCCCCCCCCGTGCCCCCCCCTGCCCCCCCCCCCCCCCCCCCCCCCCCACACACACACACACACACACACACACTTCCAAAGGTGAAAATTAAGTCTATTCCTCGGACCCCCCTTTCGGTACCGGAGCCGATGAAACAGCGTCAGCAGTACGACACACTAGTCTTGGGATTGTCTCCAGGTAAAAAGGGACAGTTGGTTGACAGCATCAGATGGACCCAGTGGGTCAGTGAGTTCAGCTTTTATTCTGAAAGGAACCGTTGCTTGGTTGATAAAGTGCAAACGATTTTATCCAGCTTGTTGGTTCTTTGCTTAAAAAGAGTTTTTGCTACTCTCTTCTCCTCGTGTGTGTTAGTTAGTCTCGGCTTTAGGAATTCACTTTGGTATTTGGTATTAGATTCAACTCTCTGGGAATCCCGACCTAGGAACGGCTAATTGACTTTGATTGTGGACTTTTCCCAGCGTCAAAGATTTTGCCAAAAGACAACTTTAAACAGACACATGTCTCCACACAGGGCTCAATGAACTAATTTAACTACACAACTACCAAAATTATCATTGTAGTATCTAGATCCTAGATAGTATTGCAACCCTGATTGTTGTCCTGTACCCTAGATCAGGGTCTCTTCCAGACCATGATCCACCTCTTCCTGTCCTGCAAGCTCCGTATTGTGGCCACTAAGCTGTAAATGTTTCCATCAAGAGGTGGCTCAGTATTGTTCCACAATGATGAGCTGCTGACCTAAGGTTTCACTTTTGGAGTGTTGCTGAAAAGTATAGAATACCATTTAACGCTTAATCCGCCTAGCCTGCTGGTGGTGGTCAGAGGGATCGGTGGCATCATTGTAAAGCACTTACACTTCGCTTCTCCTCCAGCTTCACTGGCTGCCAGTCAACTTCAGGGTTTATTTCAAGATCCTGGTTCTGGTCTTTAGGGCCTTACAAGGACAAGCACCACCATACATTGGTGATCTTCTCAGTACCTACACCCCCAGCAGGTCCCTGAGGTACCGTGACCAAACCTACCGGTTGTGCAGCACCAGGCTAAAGACCAAAGGTGACAGATCATCTGCTGCTGTGGCCTCCAGACTCTGGACCTCTCTCCCCCTGAGCCTGAGATCAGTGGACTCAGTGGTCTTCTTTAAGAAGCAGCTGAAGACTTACCTCTTCAGGCTTGCTTTGAGAACAGTCTCTCCTGCTTCCTATTGCTCTTTATTTTATTTAAGATCTGAACTAATCTTATCTATTTAAGAGCATAATAACTTGTTGTATTTCTGCCTTGCTCTCTCTTTCACACTGGAAGCTTTTATAGAAAATGGTCTGTTAATCTGTTCTATTTTGTTTTAATAAACCTTCGCTCACCTGCGTTCCAGCCTTCCTGTTTTTGATTCTCAGTGTCCATCAGCTGTGCAGCACCATTTTGTAAGTGGGTGTTGCACAGAGTGCTCTGCTCTAAATGATGAACACAACAAGCTCCTGGCTGATGGTAGTCTCTGTCTTTGTGTCCAATGATGAAGGCTGACTCCATTGTCCTACCACTAACCCATGGTGCTCTGGAGACAACCTGTCCATAAACACCTCAGAAACTGAAGACATGATTCTGGACTTGAGTGAAAAACACAACAGTTACACATGTATTATATCTTTATACTGTGTATTTATTATATTATATTACATATGAGGAATATTTATTCTAAATTGAAACTAATTTTTTACTTTTGCCCATCAGAGCTCAGTGAGTGGACAAAACAAGAGTGTCACCCTCTGGTGGCCTCATTAAGCATTACATGAAGCTATAATAACTAAATCAGCACCTTCCCAACACTTTTTATTTGCTTCAGAGCTGCTAAAAATAAAAACAACAACATCAAAAGTTTCTATCACATTCTTTATAGAAAGTAAGATTTTTTAGTTTGTTTGAAAATCACAAAGAATAAAACTGGTCAGATTTAGATTTAAAAACATCATAAAGAAAAAAGTCTTTTTTACTTGTTTTTTGTGGCTTTTGAAGAGACCACCTAAAATAATAAAAATATAACAGATGTTATGTGTTTTATTAGTCCCATTCTGATCACAAAGGTGTGTTTTATTCTGCTCCAGCAGGCGGCGCTAGTGCCCCATTACGCTGGTCACCGACCACCGGAAAAAGCAGAAACCGGAAGCTGCTAGCAGAGCTAGCTTGCTGTTCTGGTGTGTGAGGAGAATATTTGAGGCTCTGCAGTAAAAATGTCTTCACTTTAGTCTCTGGGAGAGTTGATCAGCTAAAGCGACTAACTGCTGCTGCAGCAGAAATCTTCTCACCAGGCTCTGGAAACTTTCTTCTCAACAACTTGGTGAGTTCTTTCCAGAACCAGAGAAGATATTCTGCGGTCTTCGTGACAATCGGAGCTCCAGAATCAGGTTGTGGGTGAGAAAAGCTTTTCTCTAGACTTCCTGCCCTCTGGATCTGCTGCTGTTCCTTTGGCCTCTCTGAGAAATTCAATCAAATTCAATTCAAAGATACTTTATTCATCCCAGAGGGAAATTAGAGACAATAGCATTGCCGCGCTCGTTTAGCTGCTTTCATCAGATTGAAGAGGTTCCCTCTATCAGACTCGCTCATCTGAGTTGGTCATGATGCAGGATCGCTGCTCGCTCTCTGATCCATCCTGCTCACTCTCTCCGACGGAAAAGCCCCGAATCTGAATGTGACTCTGGAGGAAAAAGCGGTTAGCTCTACTCCGTGAACTCTTGTGACCAAAGGTCCTCTTTTCCAGACTGGATCTGTCCTCAGCTGATCAGAACCAAAGCGTTGTATCTTTAATCTCCTGCGTTGTTCTGAAGCAGCATCTTAATCAGCTCTCCTGCTTTGTTTCTATTGCAGCTGTTAGCTAAACACGGCTAAAGAAAACCTGCTACCACTTCAGGATCATCCATCAGCTGGGACTGCTTCATCGTGTGTTCTTCACCACCTGGACCTGGACAGCATGGACACAGGTAGGGCTGCCACCTTTCAGATATGTAAATAAGCCTTAAACAAGGTTATCTTTACTTTATCAGAGCAAGACCCAAACTTAGGAGCGAGTGTATTTCTCTGAGCGTATGACATACAGCAGTGCCTGTACATGACGTCATGTCTCATGTCCTCAGTGATGATATGACCAACATGTTTAACATTCTTGGTGACACTAATCACAGAGTCTGGCAGATACAACTCTGGAAACTTAATTTGCTCGTCCTCGGCCCGGCGAATCCTAACCACACTTTTAGCTGCATTATACACAATATTGTGTTCTACTTGTAGTCAGAGCAGATATCTAGTAGCTGCTGTAGACCAGTGGTGCTCGGACTTAGAACCACTAAATCATCTGCATACATCAGATGATTTATGACACCACCCACTGCACAACCAGTCCTGCTGACCTTTAACCTCACTGATAAATCATCCATGTACAGGTTTAAAGGAAGAGGGGATAGAACACCTCCTTGTCTGACTCCATTACTGACCTTAAATGGCTCTGAGATACTGTTATCCCATTTTATGTGTAGCATTTGCTTACCATACCAGTAAACCAGGATGTGTTCAATGTATCTTGTAACACCTCTTTGTAGCAGCTTTATGAATAGTTGACATGCTGGGGTTGAGTTTTTGTACCAGGACACGGAGAATCAGTCTCGGACACAGGAAATCAAAGCAAACAGGGTTTATTTAAGGAAAACTGAGGGAGAAAACAACGTGTGGCGATGGTCTCGGGCTCGAGAGATTCTGGAAATGAGTGAATTAACTGGCTGCAGACTGGTAGCTGATGTGAACAGAGAGTGGTGACCTATACTGTATTGTTGGTAGCTGAGGGCTCGAGGGGAGGGAAGGAGTAAGATCTGAGGAGGTGGTGAGCTTGTAGGCAAGGTGGTGGCTTGAAGAGTCGAACGGGTTATTGTCCAGGACTTCAGGAAAGGTGAGCGGTGGGAGTGCAGGCCGGACGGGCAGCAGGCAGACATGGGCTGAGAGTCAGGAACAATAATGAACAGATTATGATGAATGATGGTTGAAACAAGATAACTGAGACAATGAAGTAAATGCTGGAATGAAGCACATAGAGACTGAGGAGTTCTGGTTTCTGTATTTGGTCACAATTTCCTTTAGGGCATATATACACATGTTTGTACCACGCTCAGACTCAAAGCCAAACTGATTGGCTGTGATTTTTAAGGCGTCATTAATTCTGTCTTGCAGAATTCTTTCCAAGACTTTTGAGAGAGTGCTAGCCAGAGCAATGGACCTATAGGTATCCATGCTACCACCTCTCCCACCCTTGTCTTTCATCACTGGGACCAACAGAACAGCTAGCACTGAATCAGGCAAACATCCATGAGCAAGAAATAATGAAATGCAGATAGCAAGGAGTGGTGCTAACTACTGCTAGCATACTTTAGGTGTTCAGCAGGTATGCCAGCCAACCCAGTGGCCATAGATGAGCCTCGGTTTTGCGGTGCCTCAGTCAGCAGCAGCATCAACTAACAGGGAGAGCAATGAGCAATGGGGTAATGTCCATTTTTTATATGTTGATGGTAGGGCTGGGAAATAAACCGAAAAATTATCGTTATCGAAATTTCTGACTTATATCAAAATCATTTTTCCCATCAATAAATTTGATAATTAAAAAAATGAAAAGATGTGTGTAGGTTGGTAACGTTACCTTTAAGAAGCTGTACCACCTTGAGTCACGTAGAAATGTGACTCAACGTGATACATGTGACAGCCCCATCTATTGGACAACTTTTGTTTTATGTGCATACTAGGCTTGGGCGGTATCCAAATTTGAATACCGTCTAACTTCCACTTAATTTTACCCCGGTATACAGTATTACCGTTAATACTTAAAAAGTATGACGTAAGCCTCAAGTGGACCTTCACCTTTCTGAATCCGAATACCAAACAATAACTAAAAAAATAACAACGCAACTCACATACTATTAACAACATTTACTAACACAAAAAACGCAGCTTATAAACAAGTGCAAAGAGTCAACAGTCCAACAGCAATAAATCAACGTAAAAACCGAGGACAGCTGTTGTGCGCAAATCAAGTGAACAACTTATCAACGAGCAGCATGAAACAGTGCAAATAAGCTGTAACAGTCAACAAGAGTTGAATAACCATAAACATTTAAATTATTAATACCAAAACAACTGCATTAAAATTATAAAAAGAAAACTCCGTCACACGGCCACACGCCTGCGCGCGCACACACACACACACACACACACACACACACACACAGGACTGTGAACATTACGGCATGTTGCAGCAAATCTAGTTAAGATTTCTCGCCAGAAAAACCAGAATGTTTGCTTTTTCTGGGTTCAAGTTTGCACGTTGTGGACCAACAACTTTACCTGCGGTGCTGAAAACCCGCTCCGATGGTGAGCTGGTGGTACAAATACATAGATACCTCCGGGCCAGTCGTGACAGCTGGTGAAAACTACTGCCAGCATATTTCCACCAGAGAAGAGGGTCTTTGTCCCCTTGAATAACAGGTTCCAAACAGTATGCTGTTATTTCATCTCCAGCTCGTTGCTCTGCGCGGCTGACGGGACCCTCCGGCGCAGCGTCAGCGGCTCGTTTTTGCAGGAGAGCCCCCAGATACACCTTTTTGCGTTGTGATCGTTCCTCTATGGTTCGGATGTTTCTGGTGCTGTTTGTCCCTCTAAGCTCACAATCTCAGCCTGTAATTCAGCTTTGATTTGAGCCAGTGCGTTGTCATCAAGCTCATATCTGCCGCGGTAACGAGGATCGAGGAAAGTGCATTTTCGCATTAATTTGCGCACTGAATCAGATTCATACTTGGCCTCCAGCTTTTTTAGAATTGTGGTTTTTATTGACTTTGTAAGCTGGAGGTCGTCTTCTGATACAGCCAACACGCTCTCCCTGCAGAGCTGGAGTATGGGGAGGGTAGAGGAACTGGTCAGTCTCACAGCTGTTTTTCATGACGGTATTGGAACTGACACCGTCGCTATTTTGTAATACCCCGTGTATACGGTAATACCGTAATACTGCCCAAGCCTAGTGCATACCTGTAGTTATCGTCCATTTATCGTTATCGAGGTGAAATCCTCAATATATCGTGATATTGACTTTAGGCCATATCGCCCAGCCCTAGTTGATGGGTTAACTTCTAACTTCTAAAGCATTGACCCTGACCAGAAATCCATCATACAAGCAGATTATTTTGGTCTAAGTGAAATTATTGTAAATACGACTACAACAACTGACATTAGATACATTATATATATATATATATATATATATATATATATATATATATATATATATATATATATATATATATATATATATATATATATATATATATATATATATATATATATATATACGCATACCAAAATATAAATAACAGGATACAGATACACAATTTTCATATTATGTCTGTTTATTAACACAGCCAAATAATGGTGGTTTAAATCAAGCTGAAACATACTACACACTATAATATTTGTCTTTGCAATGTCCCACCGCTTCCTTTTTGGCATTCCTATTAACCAGGATGTACAATACAGTATTCAATAGAACTGAAAGCAATAAATGTTGTCAAAGCACAACTGTGGCCCACCACATCTTTATCATACACAATTTGAGTCATCCATTGCGTTTTAGTGTTGAAAAAATATTTTCAATAAAACTTTTAAAGAGCAAGTCACCCCCCTACAAGAGACTAACTTCACTCCCACGTAATATTTGAAAAATGCAACAAATACTGTTGCCTGGCAGACCGAGAGGGCGGAGCTGCTAACAAACACACAGGCTTACAATGGCATTGTGACATCATAATGAACCAGTTTACATCATAGCATACCTCTTAGCCAGTAGCGGTGGCAGATTTAAATTCAAATACAGCGCAGAGTTTTTACCTGACGACGGCGCAATACTGACAGTTTTAGGCAGAATATTTAAAATTTAACTAAAATACACTGAAGTTCTAAATTATTGACTACACATGTCTGCAGCGCGATTAGACACTCGTTCATGTCATTTATCAGCAAAAAAAAAAGTTGGTTTGGGGGTGACTTGCTCTTTAAATTAAATAAAAAGAACAATATTTTACTTTTTCCTATATTCACTAATCCAGTTGCTCAAGCAAGCCTAACTACTATAGCATGTTGCACTGAAACTGGTCTTCTTGTTTCCACATCACCTTTCAAATCTACTGAGCTTTTTCATCTTTCAGCCAGTTGCTGAGGGAAACTAACTTGTTCACGTTTTCCGAAAGTAAAGCTGACATTTTCTTGTTCACAATGTGACCTGCAACTGAGAAAAGTCGTTCACAGGGAACAGTGGTTGCAGGAGTGGCTAGATATTTCTGAGCCAGTGAGGCCAGCTTCTCATAGGCTCCTGAATGAGATGCCCACCACCTCAATTCAATACAATAATACTTTATTAATCCCAGAGGAAAATTGACTGTCCGCGGGGCAATTGTTTCAGTACAGAAAATTCCAAGATCAGACATACATTTATACATAGACACATGACAAGAATTGGTGACTGTGGTCATTCGCAACACGAGATGCGCTACCGTTATAGATCGAGAGGGTTTATACGAGGATAGTGTCAGGGGGAGGGGAAAAAAAGAACTTCAGAGTTACCCCCGACAGAGAGGATAGCTTTGCTATGCAAAAAAAAAACACCTCAAACAGATATACACACAAACTTCAGACGATACACAACATAAGTCTCCACTAGGTAGGGAGGAAGGGTTCTGGGACTCTCCTCACTTCAGAGTACACAGCCGCAAGCATCCCCGAGGGGCAGCAGTGCTCACCACCTCCGTTTGAACAGGGGAGGGAGATTATTGGGTTAGAGAGCACATTGACCCTAGATACGGTTCCATGGCCTTCACCGGTCACAGTCCCGCCCAGGCTGGGATAGGGAGAAAGAGTTTCCATGGCGACAGCAGCTTTCCACATTTCTTCTGAGGGG